AGATGTTCATGCACAAAATAAAAAAGAGCATTCAGTATCTTCCCAAACATGTGAAGGAGAAACCATCTCCAAATTCATGAATTGTGCTTTCATTTAATCTTCTACTCTCAACCCTAATCAACTTTTGAGTCCAGACTCTTAATTGAAGTTGTCAGCTCCTGAAAGTTCATTTTCTGAGCTTGAATCTCCACTGAGAAACTGCAGATGTGAGAAATTCTAACCAGGTAGACATGGGTATGACCTTGCCTATAAACGACTGAGCTTGGTGTATATGTATCAGAACAACACGTTATACCCCACAATTGCATACATTTATGATTTGTCAATTAAAAATAATAACAAGCCAGGTGTGGTGATAATCCTAGCTACTCAGGAGGCCACGGCAGGAGGATCACAAGTTTGAGGTCAACATAGGTAAACCAGCAAGACTCTTATCTCAAAACAAAATTATATTTTAAAAAATAGAACAGGGAATGTAGCTTACAACTCCTTGGGTTTAATCCACAGTACTAAAATAAATATTAATAATAAAAATTTTAAGAAGAACTGGGATTGTATGAACAGACTAAGTACAAATGCAGTTCTCAGATTTGTTAATTGCTTTTCACTAAAATAGATCCAGCTGTGTGTGGTTTTGCCATGTTTTGTTAACAAGCCATCTTTATTTATTGTCTTAGTTTATTATATACACTTAAGTAGGAGGAAATAGCCTGTCCATAATGGGAAATAAATTGATGTTCTAAAATGTAGACCTTTAAAGTGGTCAACCTCTGTCATCACTGTGGCTGAGAATCTTGTAGAGGGGTCAAACGGACAGTTGTTATTACTAATATTAGACCTTGTTTTACAGACTGCTTTATAGTGTGCCAAGTGCTTGCCCATATTTTTTCTCATTTGGATGATCTCAGCATCTATGATTCTATGATTTCAGCACTTTGTGAATTATCTTTAGCAAAATTTTCTCACCCAATCACCTTCTTCTGTCACTCAACCAAGCAGGCACCAGTTTATTTGAATAACATTTGAGGCAAAACCTAATGAGAAAAAAATCCTTCGAGTCATGGGATTCATTCTAGAACCAAACATCTGCAGTCTTTCTTTAAATGATGATCTGCCCTATCCTCTGGTTAACAGAGAGGTCAAGTGATGTCGTGTACAGACATAATGAATATATGAGACCAGGGATGCAAACTTCAGGGAGGACTTTAAAGAAAAATCTCATGTAATATTGAAGTTCAGCTTGCTCCCCTGAGCCCCCATCGGCAGGTGCAAGGCCAAGAAAGTGAACAAGTCAGGGTCCCACCTACCTTAATACAGGTTTTATTACTTAGGTATGAAAGGCCAAGAAATCAGATGACTGCCATTAAAAAGATGGTTTGTCATGCTTGCAGGCCCCAGAGGATGGGGCACACCAGGCCATGTCAAGCGGGGGGCTCACCCAGGGCAGCCTGGGATTGTCAAGAGGCAAAGGGAGGGTGACCAGCAGAAGCCCTCATTTTGGTTCCCAAGGGAAAGAGTGGGCAATGCATGTTGGAGAGACTTCTGTTTGAATAATGTCACTAAGTTCTGTGGGCTGTGGGATACAGGAGCCTGCAAGTCCCTAGTTGTCTGGTATCTGATGGGATGATGAGCGTAAAGGAATAATGGTCCCAAGTAAGAGCCCAATAAATGAGATGATGAGGTGTTGGCTCTGGCTAGGCAAGCATTTGATGAAAACACACCCAATGAGTCCTTCACTGTCTCCAGGAATTGGCTAACCTTGGTAGGCACAATGCACCCAGATGCAGCAGGGGCCCAGATGTTAAAACTCCAGAACACAGAAGATGAACACATGCTTAATCTCATCCTCCAGGGGCTTATGCTGCAGGAGGTGGAGAAACCAAGGGAGCTGGAACTAGACCACAAGTCCAAGCCTTAGACTCTGAACTGTAAGGAGAGTATAGATTGCATAAAGATAAGATTTCTATAAAGCCCTTCCTCTGTGGTTCCATGAAATCATCAAACACAAGAAGGTGGCAAATGTTATAGCAGAACCAAGTGCTCTGGGAAAAGAAGGAAAAGTGGCAGAGGACTAAAAATCAGGATGGGTCTGAAGGAGGCCCAGATGTTGGGTTTGGGGATTGGCACCAAAGGGTGACACAGATAAGCAGGCTGCTGACGGTGGTGAGGTGGTGGCAGGGGGATGGTTCCTCTTCTGAGAGGCACCAGATAGAAAAGAATAAGAGCAGAGGCTCTCCACTGGAGGCACTTCTTCTCCCCTACCCCAGGGGGACATTGGCAATGTTTGGACACATTTTTGGCTGTCGTATCTTGAAGGAAAGAGGGAGTAGTGCTGGTATGCAATGGATAGAAGTCAGAGATATTGCCAAATTCCTAACAGCACCCTGAGAGCTCCCACCTCCAATCCCACCAGCAAAGAACTAAATGTTCTTTGTCTAAATGTCAGTAGTGCCATGGCTGGAAACCTCAGAGGAAGTGATGGCTATGAAAAAAGTGCAGATTTGCAGTCCCCCCAAGTCAGCAGGACCTGATGTTCCCAGCTAATGCTGGGAAGGACAGGGAGCCAGCTGTTTGCAGGCCATGTGGTCCCCTCTAAACATGGCTGTCAGGCTGGGGGGGAAGGAGAGGAAACACTGGTCTGAGGGTACCAAGTTTCAATCAGACAGAATGAATAAGTTCCAGGGATCTACTGTACAGCATGGTGACTATTGTTAATCATACTGTGTTGTATACTTAAAAATTACTGCCGAGCAAATCTTCATTGTTCTCATGACAAAAAAAGACAAATACTGGGTGTGATGGATATGTCAATCAGATGAACTCAGCCATCTCATCGTGTATACATGTATCACAACATCACATGGTACATCATAAATACAGTTGGTCCTGAGCACATGCGGATGACACACACACCACACAGACTCCAAAATCTACAGATGCTGAAGTCCCTTATATAAAATAGTGATCATCTCTACTTATGATATCTAATATAACACAAATGCCATGCAAATAGTTGTTATACTGTATTGTTCAGGGAATAATGGCAAGAATAAAAGTGTGCACATATTCAGTAGTAATGCAATTCTTAAAAGCTTTTTTGATCTGAAGTTGATTTAGTCTGTGGATCTGAAGTCCACAGATAGAAAGGGGGAATGTATGTACAATTTCTATATGACCATTATTCCTCAGTGAAGTGAATGGAGGCTTCAGGACTCAAAAAGAAAGGATTTATTCTTTGTACCATCTGTTAAGCTGTATTCCATCAGGGCAGGAACCACATATGTCAGCTTTGACAGAGACCCCAAATATATTATAAATAAATTTTTGTTGAATGAATGAATTTTAAAAATTAAATTAGACTCTGTGTCATCCTCACCCGAAGCCCTCGTAGATTTGATGAAGCAAACTGAACTGGTTTTTTGAGGCTTGCTTTTTGAATAACCAGAGTTTTAGATTTTGATGAAGTCAGATATGTCTACATTCTCTATGACTACATTCTTCTTACCCTTCTGAATTTAAAAAGTCTCTCAAATACACTCTTCAGCCCTTATCAAAGATTAAATATTCTCTTCCTTTCTTAAAACTAATTTCTTATGGTTTGCAGCCTTTAAATATTTACCTGTTTAATCCAGTCCTTCCCAGAGAGTGGTGCAATGATAATGTATGATTTTTTTAGGAATTCCATGGCTAAATTTTTTTTTATTAATGATTTGATGAGTTTTTTAACTGGATTTGTAACCATAACATCAAAACTGTATTTTCCAGATGGTATTGTTTAGAACAAGGGCAAGTTGATGACTCTATTTTAAAATGTAGGTGGTTTGGGGTGATAGATATGGAAAACTGGTGATAGGGGTTTGAGTATTACTAAAATTTGGGAGACACTGGTTAAATCCATTTGAAATTTGTTTTACTTTCGAGGGTAGGATACTTACCAGATTTCCTCCCCTCACACCACAAGATTATTAACCAACCACTCCAAATCATTTATTACATTTCTCTTTGATAATGGTTTTTTAAAATCATGCATCAATTCTTACATACAGGATTTCCAGGAGATCCTTTTTGTCTCATTCATCTTTCATCAGTCTTGAGTTATTACTGTGCTTTTAATTACTGTGCTCAACTTAATATCTGGTCCAGCAGGCCTTCTCTTCCCACACAGAGGGCTGGTTTTGAGGGCTGGGTCAAGGTAGGGGTGTGAAAGGACAGTGACATGTGGGGAGTAGTACACCCTACAAATCCCTTGGGATGCAGTGGGCTATAGTTACAGGACTGGAGCTGGTGGGATGTCCTCAGACTCACAAGAGGAAGGAATATAGGATCCCATTAACCATCAGTCTCCTGTCCCAGCCCCTAAAAAATGATACCATTAATATTATGTATCTTGCCAATAAAAAGCAAATTGTTATTACATTTGATCAGATATACGGTTGTTAGCCTTGCTGCCTTTGTTGAATTTCTAGTGTCTCAAATTTGGATAGAATGTGATAGACGTCTCATCACCTATGAATGAATCCAAGAGAAGCTATTCAGCAGGTGCTGAGCCATGCTAAAGCAAGTGCTGAATAATGCTAAGGCAGATCTGGGTCATGCTAAGTGGCTCTAGAACAGGCACTAAGTCATACTAGAGCAAATGCTGAGTCACGCTAGGGCAGATACTGAGTTGTGCTGAATCACGCTATCATGCAATATTAACCAGGGGAGACTAATCTCAAAGGGGTTTATCCCCAGACCCAAATGGGAGTCACAAGTGGGACCCTTGGTGCTAATTGAAAGTGTTCAAGGGGGAGGCAGGGGAGGATCCTGGAGGCCCACTTCCCTGTAAAATGCTTGGGCTATGGCTGGGACCAGAACATTGCTCATTCTGGAGAGTCCAGACTGAGAACTCTTGCACACTCTGCAGTCCTCCAGGTGAGCTGCGGGGTCTCTTGGTGATTGAAGATGGTTTTGCAAAGAAGAACTGGGTTTATAAATAATGCATCTCCTTTGTCTTGCAGGAATTCTGGAGGCAGAGGTACAATCAGATCAGCTGTGAACAGCTTACATAGCAAATCTAATAGGTTTGTAAATTAGATTTTGTGTTCATTTGTTTTTGCTGTAAGGCAGCTATTAATCTGCTTCTCCTCTTTGCTGGATGATGCCCTTCTTACTTAGTAAATAGATCTGTTTCGTTTCACTTTGGTTTTACATTTCCCTAATCACTTTTTGGGGGAGCTGTCGATGAAAGATCACATGAAATAGTCCAAGGTCTAGAAGCTGGTGAGATGGAAAACACAGATGTGTAGCAGTTATTTTCTGGAAAAGAGCCCCCACACACACACTTTGTAAAGCTTGGACCACCAACACACTTACTCAGAACTTGTCCTTTGCTGAGCAGTGGAGACCCTCTAGGAAGTCAGAACTTTCACTCAATTTCTTTGTGGTAGATGGCTGGTCCACGGGGTTAAAATGGAAATAAAGCACTCCAAAATTTTGCTGAGATCTCTTAAAATACACGGGGAGTCAACCCAGTAATGTTATCCCTGATCATTGGATGTACATTATTATCTTGTGTGACATGACACGGTTACACTGGACACCTCTGGGACAGTCCCTGCCTAGGGGACAGATTGATGCAGCAGAGCATGCGAATATTTTGCAAGCTGGCAGACCCAGGCTTGCCACTGGCTATGGCCACACCATGCCTCCAAGTCCCCATTCCCCATCAATGACAAGTGTCCCATACCTCTGACCTTTAGTCTCCCAAGCCCAAATTCAGGAACAATGAAGACAAATCCTAAATCATTTGTTACAGACAAGTCCACTCCTCAAAATGAAGTCCTTGATTTGGTTTCTAGATATCTCCCTTGATCATGCCAGAAATGAGAGCCTCATATAACTCAAAGGATAGTTTGTCATTTGCCCTCCCATAATTTTTTAGGTCTATTGACCATATGAGACCTCTCAAGTATGTTCTGCCCCTCCATGCCTGACTTGAGAAATGAGCCTTTCTGGTCTGGACATTATTGCCTGTAGATATTTAATGACCTCTTACCCACCCAGACCTATAAATGAAGTTTATCTTATGGCTAAAATACAAAAATGGCAGAAATGAAGGAGAAGGCCATATATCGTCCCTCAGTTCCTCTCTGGTCTACTGTGGAAAGATGCTCTTTGCTGAAGAAAGAAGACACTGCCTCTCAAGCTCAAGTCCCACAGCTGCTGTGGTGCAGTCTTATTGAGCACGAGAAGTGAGGCCAGTCTTGGGTGCCAGAAAACCCTAGGTTTAGCTCCTGAGCTTCTTAGTTGGGGCCTCAGGCAAAGAAACTTCACCCTCTGAGCCTCAGTTTCCATCCAAGGAGAATAATAAGCAAAGCCTTCTTGGAGAGATTAGAACCACTGACTCTCAGAGGCTGTCTAGCCTAGCACCTGAGATGACCAAGACACTCCACTAATGCTTGTCACTATCACCAAGGGTTTGTGGTGTCAGATGTGACTGAAGGTAAAGTTCAGGACTTGGGAGGCAATGCCACTTAACACACCTGTAGAATCATTTGGGAGACACAGAAGAGTACTGGGTCCATGAGAGGAGTCACTGAAGAGGAGAACCTCACTCAGCAGCCCAGCAGTGTGTGTGCAACACAGGGCATGTAAAACCTGTGACAGAGGCAATCCCTGGGGATATGGAACCCATGCAATTAAGAAGCCCAAGGCCAGAAAGCCAAGGGGACTTTCCCAAGTCCCCCAGCCACATAGCAACAGAACCAGGGTTAGGACCAGCAAGATCACAGCTGATGGTACAAGACCTCAGCCAAGACTACCCCACAAAGTAGGGACCAACGTGGAATTTTACCACTGTCCCTGCCAGCATTTATCTCATTCCTTTTCCTACTTCCTCAACCTTGTGTCTGAGAGAATTCTGGAACCGTCATCTGGAGGCTTCTGCCCAAGCCTTTCTACAAGGTTCCAGAGACCCCAGCCCTGCAGCTATCTCCCAGTTTGGGGAGCAGCCCTGGAGGCTGAATCTACATAAAGCCAACGAGGTGCCAGCCCCAGTCACTGGTTACTCATGTGAGCACCTACCAGCATTTTAGGAAGACAAGTCCTCATCGCAAGCTTGAAGCATTTCCCTCACGTGCACCTATGGATATAAACTGCGGTGAAGCTTGGGGACTTGGGTATGACAGCTGGTCCTGAGGTCATGGTTCCTGCCCAGGGCAAGCAGAAGTAGACGGTTCCAAAGGGACACAGTCATATCAGCTCTTCCTGGCCCTCTACATGACAGCAGCCAGTGGTAGATGCAAGAAACACATCAGCAGTCCTTTTAGGAATCTAGAAGCGCAAGGCCATCTATCTTCCTCTTCTATACCCTCTTCCTATAAATAAGGAAACTGTAGCTCAGAGAGGTAAAGTGATTTAGCCATAGTCACACATCTTAGGAAAATTTTCCCCTCCCCCTTCTGCTTCCTTTCATGAAAATAGCAAAGATTCCAAAGGATCCAGTTCTCCTTTTCTCAGCTTGACTGTTAGAAGTCCATCTGCCTCACTCAGAACCCTTTTGTTTCTCTGTAAAGTTATGTACAGTATGTTAAAATAAGTGATTGCAGCAGAGGAGCCGGGAATATTTTTGGAAGGGAGATGGGAGGGGCATGAAAGATAGGGTGTACCCCTCAATTAATTTCCTCTCTGCCTGAAAAAAGCAAAATAGAACATTGGGTTTAGACCTCACCAGCAGGAGTTCATCTTTTTTTAACTTGACTATTGCAAGATAAATGCAAAGGACAGAGATGTTTGGTTTGAACTCTTTAAAGCTCTGGAATTTGGTATCACAAATCTACTTATTCTAACTGGGAGAATCTGCTGTCAGAACAGACAAAAGAAACTTGGAATGTGACCCACATGCATGTGACTACATCCAGCAGAAGGCAGCCTGGCTCTTGCTCTGCTTTTAAAGATATAATTGTAGCCTAGTTTCTTAGAAACCTACTAGCACAGATTTCAAGCTTCTGAATTCAAGTGAGTCCTCTAATGCCTGGTGCTCCAAAGTCAGGTGGATAGATGGTTTATACTTAGAATTGTGATCTGCCCCGGGCATACAAAGCCTAACTAGCCCATTCCTGTACTCCAGGCTCCCCTGGGATCAATTTCAAAGTCAAATTCAATGAACACTTGTTTATTGAGCACCTGCTATGCTAGACCATTAGGGAATGTAAGAGGTGCCCCTGCTTGCAGTCTAGCAGGACAGACATAGGATGGATTACTCTGTCACAGGTGGAGGTTTCCTATGTCAAAAAGAATGATGGGAATGTGGGACAGGAGGTAGAAGCCACGGGCTACAAGGACATGGTCCTGGTACGAGGTTTGTTTTCTCTTTATTAGGTTTGCAAGCTATGATAGGATACTTTGCCACTAATAGAACTGCTACGTGTGAGTTTCTTATCAATCGTTTAAATGGAAAATATTATTCTGGTAGTAACAGCTAGATTTCACTGGGAGGATACGTTGAGGGTAGAGGGAGACAGAAATAGTTTTATCACCCTTCCTGTCTCCTAGAATGTCTGTTGGTTATACCTGAGGGAGAGAGTTTGTACATCCTAGGAGATAAATAGGCCTCCTTCCCTTCTCGGGTAATAACAGCAATTTTGCTCTGCTGAAGTTTACATTCAAGCCCGCGCAAAAACAAAACTATTAGACTTGTCATTGGCATGCTAACACGTCGTGTCTACCTTCGTCTTTTTTCTCCCCCTTCCAGAGCTGAAGTTGTAATAAATGGCTCCTCATCGCCAGCTGTTGTTGACAGAAGTAATGAAAGCAGTAAGCACAACATGCAGCCGGCCTCGTCCAAATGGAGACACAACCAGACGCTCTCTCTGAGGATCAGGTACTGGTAATTACCTGTAGGACAAGAGGCAGACCCGGCCTTCTTCAGCGCAAGCCGGCAAATTGCTGCGCTCCATCATCTATGGAAGCAGGATAGAAATAAAATGTTTACCTCCCACGGAGGCAGGTTTCATCTGTAAGCAATCCACTGGGAATAAGTCATACGACCAGCTGAACAGCCCAGCAGGTAGACACAGCCACTCAGGCAGGGGAGAGACAAATCCCTGCTGAAGGTCAGGGGCAGACAGCGCCTGGTGACAGACAGAGGCCATGGGGCGGGGGAGGCAGGTCTCCTTCCTTGGCATTAGGAATCATTCCTTGTCTGGGCTTGCTTGGCATTTGTGTCCCCATTCTGTAACACTTCTTCAGTTTGTCCGTGGAGTGCTGCCCTGTTCCATAGTCCTTGTGGCCTGAAAGGCTGCCTCTCCCCCAAGATGTGAATGAGAACCTATAGCTGGGAGACCCACACACTGAGCTGACAGCTGGCCCCAAAGAGAGTGCTCTTGTCCTGACCTTCCCAGAGAGCTGCTTGCAGGCTGCCATCATCCTGGGGTAGCAGCGACGGGGAAAAGTAGAAGAGGAATTACAAGTTCAGCATGTTGGACCCTCAGCTTTGATGTAACCATGATTTACCCAACCAGCCTCGGTCAGTGCAATCTAGCTATGTTTATCTGCAGGCATTGTGCTGCACTCCCAGAGTGCTAGTGTGAGTCAGAACTATTAGGCAAGGAACCCCAAATATAAAGACAGAACAAGGTGGTAGGCTATACATATTAGGAGGCATGGCGTCTTATACACAAGTGCAAATAAGGAGGTTGTACTGATGTTATACTCACTTGGTAAAGGGTCTAAGAGGGCTGCCAGGGAAGGCTAGCCCAGAACACTGGGTTTGTAAGGGTAATTAGGAGTCTGCCAGGTGCATAAAGCTGTGTCCTACACGCAGAGCCTAAAGGTGGGTTGTACGCTCACTGCTGCAGGAACACAGAGAAGGAGGGGGTATGCGGACACGGAGTAAGGCTGAGGGACAGCCAGGACCAGATGAGGAAAGCCATCAGCAGAGGGATGGAGAGAAGGCAGTGACAGTGAGACCACGCAGCTGGAGTTGTGTCCTCTAGAAAGACTCCTGTTGACATGAAATCCCCTACCCAGCTTTGAGGCTTAGTTTTAGGACATGAAGGATGTGGGAATAGAGAGGTGTAGGTCTAGGATCAGGTGGCTGAGAAACCATCTGCAGGAGCTGTCTGTGGGTGCCACTACTTGTCACCCTCACCGTTACTCAGCACCTCTTCCAAGGCCGCTTGTGTGGGACCCCACCATTGTCATGCTGTCCTGACAGCTGCCCCCTTTCATCAAGGGTACCACGGAGTCAGTGAGACCATGTTCCCCTTGGGCTGCTGTAACAAATAAGCACCATCCAGTGGTTGAAATAACATGGATCATTCACTCATCATTTTGGAAACCAAGATTCTGAGCCCTCCCTCGTCGGGCTTTAGGAGAGATTTTTTTTTTTTTTTTTTAGTTTTTTTAGTTTTGGGCGGCTCCAGGCATTCTTCTTAACTTCACGATGCCTTCTCCCCCTCTGGGTCTGTGCTGTCTCCTCTTCTGTCTGTCCTAAGGACACCATTACTAGATTTAGGGCCCACCCAGGGAGCCCAGAATGAGCTCATCCCAAGAACTGTAATTTAATTACATTTGCGAAGATGCTGTGTCCAAATAAGGTCACATTCACAGCTTCCTGGGGTTGGGAGGTGCTCAGCCACCCTGGGCCCACCTGTGAGTGACATCTTCCTGCCAACACAAGGCCACCTGCAGCCCATCACCTTTCCTCCCACAATGAGTTATGTGCACACACACACACACACACACACGCACACATGCGCGCGCACACTCCCTGCTTTTGAAAAACGCCAGAGGGAGCTTGCAAACACCCAGCCACCTCAGCAAGAACAATGTGCCTTCACCCAGCGGGAAAAAGAATGTCCCCCCATTCAATTAATCACCAAAATTATTCATGATTAAAGATCTTGCAAATGATTTGGAATGGTGTTTAATAATTGATAGTAATTTCTCATAATTAGTTAGAAATTAATTCCCTCACAAAGGTGCTATATGTATTTATGGGCTTTCTGGGGTCTCTGTTGCTTTTAAATACTTTGGGATAAGTAATTGCAAGGGTTTTAGCAATTTCTACGCTATATTAGTGTGTCGAGTTGTATAATTCTTAGTAAAACAAAGTAAATGAAGTAACACCTCTATTTTCTATCCAGAGATACAAAGTTGATTTCCCCTGCACCATATTAAGAGATCCAGCTCACTCTTGTGGAAAGACGAGTGGGGAGAGAGTACCACATCCCCACCACAGGTTCTAACTGCCCCACAGCTATGCCACAGCCTCCATAGCTAGGCACCCATCAGAGTCACCTGACCTGGAGACCCTCAGAATCAGGATGTCTCAGGTGTTGGCCACAGCTCCTGAGTTCTTAGTTCCCAAGTGATTAGATGCACAGTGCCGTGGGTAAGGCACATCTCAAGCTGAGCAGGCTCCTGGGCAGCGGTGTTGCCGTCTGTACAATGGGGAAGCTGATGCACAAACTCTTCACGTGCAAAATGCATTCAGATGCTGGGCTTCGGGCTCTGTAGACGGGAAGACCAGGGTCTCTATGTCAGCTCTAGGTTGGGGCTTACTGCAGGAAGTGAAATTAATTCCAATTGACCTGGATACCCACTTCCTTGCTTTTTATGAGTTGAATCACTTCTAAAACTCTTGGATAACTCAGGCAGTCCTTTAGGTAGAACCCTAGCTGGGATGCTCAGTCTCCCAAGCCCTGAGTGCTTTGGGTAAATCTCCCCTGGCTGTCATCCTGGGGTATGGACCCATCTTGGGGTCCCCAAGAGGATACCCATCTCTTTCCTGACCTGACTTTGTTGCTTCTCTATGCTTTGCTAGGTGATTCCAAAACTTTCCCCCTCCTTCAAAGATACATTTCCCTGGAGCCCAGAGCACTGTCCTTTGATCGTCTTTATGCAGAAACAACACAGAGTAGCATTTTCTTGAGCTTTGCAAACCCCATACCAGCAGTAATGGGGCGGGAGCAGGCAGGGGGAAAAGAGGCTCCACAGAATGAACCAGCCCAAAAGGCAGCGAGCTCCTCAGTATCTCAGAAGTGGGCGTGGTGTTGTTCCCTGAATACTGTGCTCCCCTTCATCCTCTCTGGTAACCCTCCATCCAGAAGAGCCCTCTGTGAAGAAGACAGACCACTGACAAATGAGGACAGGTGGCATCCTGGTTTGCTGCTTCTGGTCAGGACTCCTCTAACCTCTGGTGGCCCTGAATCCCGACAAGAGAGAGGAAGTGGTGCAGGGGGGTTGCCCAAGACTAATTGCTTTCGTGGACAGAGGACATCCAGTCCTATACCCAGGCCCCCAGGTTGGTGGGCCACCTGTCAATGAGGTCCCCTTCCTTCTGGGCCCTCCATGAGGCCTGGGATCCATTCCCCAGGACAATTAAACTCTCTGCCTCTTCGCAGGGCCGAGACCTCCCTGCAGGGTGGAAGGCCAGGAAAATCTGGGCTACCAGCGGGCATCTAGAAACATCTTCTCTCCTCATGCCTGTTTGCTTTTCATAGGAAACAAATTTTAAAGTTCCTGGATGCTGAGAAGGATATTTCCGTCCTCAAGGGAACTCTGAAGCCCGGAGATATCATTCATTACATCTTTGACCGCGACAGCACAATGAACGTGTCCCAGAACCTCTATGAACTCCTACCCAGAACCTCGCCCCTGAAGAATAAGCATTTCCGGACTTGTGCCATTGTGGGCAACTCGGGGGTCTTGCTGAACAGTGGCTGTGGGCAGGAGATTGATACACACAGCTTTGTCATAAGGTAACCACCTGGGGGATGCTGTGGCCCAGAGAACAGTTGGGTGTCCTGAGATGCTGAAACAAGACACACTGATTAGTCCCTGTCCTCAGCATCAACTCTGCACCAGAGTTGCTTGGGGAACTTTGTCCCCCATGTCCTGATGATACCTCCAGCCAAGCAAATCATCTGGGGGACAGAGGGAGACCAGGACTTGTGTGACCCAGGAGCCCAGGTGATTCTGAGATACAGCCGAGGTTGAGAGTCACAGATGCATAGCATAGGCAAAGGCAGGCAGAGTATGGCCCTCGTGTGTTTCTGTAAAGAAAGCTTTGCTGGGACACAGCCATTGGCTCATTTGAATACTGTCAGTGGCTGGTTCTGGCCACAGTGCAGAGTCGCTGGCAGAGTTGAAAAGCATTGTTGCTAAATCAGCACACAGAACGCCCGGCCTGCAAAGCTGAAAACATTCACAACTTGGCCCTTTCCAGAAGTTTGCGGATCCTAAGACAGATCCTGGTGCACAAAGTTGGAAGGAAAATCTCCCATGCTGGGCAGTTGTTGGTCTAAACTTGTAGAGTTTTTTCCAGGGTCCTGGAAGGTGGGGCTCTACTAGCAACTTTATTACCCTGTAATCTAAATCTGTGAAGTGAGGGGGTGACAGAAAAACCTGGGTATTGTACTTGACCCTCATTTTCTCTGAAATAGCCGTTCTCACCTTTCAGTCATGAGGGACATCTGGACGCAGTTACCCACCGCCCTGACACCTGGGCCCATACAGACTCAGAGACAAGAAAAGTGAGGCACCTGGAGCCTCGAGTTTCATCCCACACAGCTCCCAGCCCCAGTGGAATGGTACACCCTGGCTCATATTTCTGCTGGGACTGTCCTGAAGCAAAGAGACGCTTGTCCCAGGGCTTTGAAAAGCGGCCTGATCAGAGAACTCACCCAACCTGAGGACATGGGAAGAAACCCGGAGAATTACTCTTGTGTCTCGTGGGGCTGGGAGCTCCCACAGCCCACAGTCAAAGCCGCTTCTGTTCTTAGTCTTGGCCAACTCCCTCTGGGAACGTTGGAATCAGTGGCTCCGTCCCCATTTTTCTAAGTCCTTCAGTGCAGCAGGTTCACTGGACATTAAGCGAGGAGAGAGGGGCAGATGGAGTGGATATTAAAAGTGAAGGTGCAGGGCAAATGCCTTCCCCTGGTGGGCTCAGGTCACCTTCTAGATTCCAGGCAGCATTGGGGGTAGCCTTCCTGACACAGTGCCACGCACCCAGACCACGCCTCTCTCCAGCGAGGAGTAAGTGCCAGCAGGAGTGGAGTGTCCCTGCCCCAGGGGTGTGGGAGGTCCTTGCATCATCTGGCTTATTGACATGTGGTGAGGCCTGAGACTGCATTTCCAGCCAGCACCCCAGAGGAGTGTGATGCAGGGAGCCTCAAATGGGATGCGCCGCGTACACAGACACGCCCAAGCCGTGCGTCCCACGGTGCAGTGGCGCATTGTTCATTCTGTCCACCCTGTGTCTCCACCCCACCCACCTTAACCCTCACGTCCTCCCTAGGTGAATGCATTTACATCTGGTGTGGAAGGAATGTGATCATAGCTGCCCCCTAAATGCCCTCAGTATCCTTACTGAGACACAGCTGGAAAAGCTTGGACTCTACCTCCCTCTCCCGCTCCTCCCTGTGTTCCTGCAGGCACGGAGCCTCTACTGGAGGCCAGGGCCTGTGCTGAATGAAGTCCCCCAAGGAGTGTGCAGGGCCTGGTCCCCACACCCTTCCAGTGGACACCTCCCAAGCACCCTTAACCCCAATGGGGAGACAAGGGCAGGCCACACTTCTGCCCTCTCTTACCCCCCCCCATGGCTCTCTCTGGCCCACAGTGGACCCACAGTGGACCCTGGGTGTGAACTGCTTCGATCCCCCTTGCCCTGCTCTTTGGACCTGGAGCTTGGCAGGGAAGAGGCCCCAGCCCTGGGGAGGCTTCAGGAGGCTGGCTCAACCGCATTTCAGGCAGTAGGTAACAGAGAGCTCGGCAGCCCCATACTGGCTGAGTAGTGACAGTGACACCCAGTCTCCACAGCCTGTGGCACAGGCTCCTGAAGGTGTCCCCAGACAGTTCTGTCACCTTTCAGTACTGGTGCAAGGTCAGAGATAGCAAAGCCTGAAGATGGGAATGGTGGGGGGATATTTTTAGGGGTTCAGCTGGAAATGGTTAACAGGCTTCTGAATCAGACACCGTTGAGCTTGAATCCTGGCAGATTCCTTAGCAGCTCCAGGACTTTGGGTACAGTGCTTCCCACACTCTGAGCTTTAGTTTCCTCAACTGTAAAGTGAGTGTGGTTGACACTGGGTCACAATAAAAGGAGCTAACCTGTGTTAAAGGACCAGCAAGGGCTGGCGTGCACCAGGGGCTCCATAAGGTTAGCTTTCTTTCTGATTATTCTACTTCTCCCCAGTTAAAGAAGGAATGTCCTTGCTTAAGTCATGGGAAGAAGTAGATGCTATCTTCCTGCATTTCATCCCCTGGTGACGGCAGGTGGTGCTGGTCCTATGTCTCCCATCTCTGCTCTGTACACTCTTACTCTGCCTTCCCAGACTTATTTCCTCTAGTCCAGGGACTTTCACCCTTCCCCTTCCAGGCAGGAGCCTGGCCCCTCCCCCATCCCCATCCCACCAGCCCCCAGCACAGGCAGGGAGCCTGGGTGTGCAGGAGGCGAGTCCCCACAAGCCAGCCCTCCACTTAAACAGCAGAGGCTGCCCACTCCAGCATCCTCACTGGCTCAGCAAAAGGCTACTGTTGCCTCTTAGGTTGCTCTCCAATACTCAGCTCCATCCCCTCCAATAAATCCCCTACCACTTCATCGGATTGTCTGTTACCTAAACTGAAAACTTCTCACATTACTGCCCTGTTTAAGAATCTTTGATAGCTCCCTATTACCCTCAGAACCAAGTCCCTGGCGCGTAGACCCTTTGATATCTTACCTGGCACGTTTCGGTACCCTCCTCGCTCCTCCACAGGCTGTGCCCTAGTCAGATCACTCGCCTCCCTCTAACCACCCATGACTGTTTCTCACCGCTCTGCCTTGGGGTGCATTTCTTGTGCCTAAAACTCCATGGCATGCCATGGTGTTCTTGAACTGCTTGGTACCTGAAGAGGAAGACCTTGTAAAAAAAATTACATCTATATATATATATACACACACATACACACACATTCTTGACTTCCGAGCCCTGCTGCAGCTGGACCTCCAGATGAGGGACTGGGGAACTGCATTTTTAACCAGTACCCAAGGCGTCTGTCGGAGCAGCCGCTCTTCCTGTGCCATGGCCACCAATGGGTTTCTGCTCGTCCACCCCCTTGATGTCCCTCTGTGGTCCCCACCTGCTGCTCCTTCCCGTAAGGGTCAGTAGTCATCATCTGCGGAGATGACCCTCCCAGCCACACTCCGAGCTCTGTGTTTCTGACTCTTGTGCCCCCCCGCCGTGGGACGAGCTCTGTGATCTCCCTCATAGCCAGAGTAACTGAAGCGCTTGGGAAGCCAGGAGAGGCTGAGCAGAATCACACAGATAGAGAATGCTGGCGCTGACCTGGACCTGGGAACGTGCCTTCAGAGCCCCGGCTGTGTCACGGAGAGGCCCAGGTCACACCTGCTAACAGTGTCCGTTTGAGCAGATAGCTGACCCTCCCGCTCCTCTCCCCCTCTGAACTCCAGAGGGAGGCGTTTTGTGTCCTCCAGGAGAGGCCTAACCTGGTATGTGGTAGGGGCTCAGTATGCATTTGCAGCGGCCACTGGGGGAGGGATGCCACGGGGGGCCCAAGATCGGGAAAGTGCCCTGGTTTATCCGGGGCGGAGGAGGAAGCAGGGGAGAGAGGCACCGAGGTCACGTTTCGGGCAGGGACTCAGCTTCCCTCATCAGGACCACGCTGCCTTTGTCTCCTGCAGGTGCAACCTGGCCCCGGTGCAGGAGTACGCCCGGGACGTGGGGCTCAAGACCGACCTGGTGACCATGAACCCCTCAGTCATCCAGCGGGCCTTCGAGGACTTGGTCAATGCCACCTGGCGGGAGAAGCTGCTGCAGCGGCTACAAGGCCTGAACGGCAGCATTCTGTGGATCCCTGCTTTCATGGCTCGCGGAGGCAAGCAGCGCGTGGACTGGGTAAACGAGCTCATCCTGAAGCACCGTGTCAACGTGCGCACCGCCTACCCCTCGCTGCGCCTGCTGCACGCGGTCCGCGGGTGAGCCGGGCCCTGGGGCTGCGGGTGCGCTGCGGGTGCGCTGCGGGTGGGCTGCGGGTGGGCTGCGGGTGGCCAGCGGGTGGCCAGCAGGTGGGCAACGCTCCTCCTCCTCCCGGCTACCCCGTCTTTCCAAGCCAGCTACAACGACCTTAGCAAGTCATCTGCCCTTCCTGCACCCCTATTTCTGGAGAAATTAGAAAAGCTGGCAGATGGGCTTCACCTGGCATGCCAGCTGTGACCAACTGGTAGAGCCTACCTGGAGGGCTGTGTTAAGAATGATCCAGGCTCATGTGGGACAGAACGGAGGCTGTGAATGTGGGAGGGGAGAGGTTGGTGTGTCAGTATCAGCTACCCCAGGTAGGTGATTCTGAAGAAAATAGGGGTCAAATGGGTTAGCATCTGTGTCACCTTAATCTCTCTAGACTTGAGTTTCTTCATTGGTAAAATAGGGCTGGAAAGGTTAACAAGAGGGGAATATGGAGACTGAATGAGACGATAGTACTGGAAATGCCTAGTACAATGCAGAAAGTGTCAGGAGAGACACTCAGGGTTACCATCATCACCCGTCTGCCCCACAAAGCAGAGGCACAGCAGCAGGGTTTGCTGATGGGCTCGATCTAAGGGTCCTACTGGGTGAGAGAAGAGAAGAATCCAGGATGAGTCAGGATGAGAGGCTGAGCAAACAGGCGGGCGGTGATGCCATGCTGTGTGACAGGACAGCCGAGAGAAGCCCTGTGTGTCTGGGGAATTGACAGGAGGAGAGTTCTTTCCTGGGAACAAGTTTGAAATGCCTGCTACAAACATATACCATGCTCCAATATTGCAGCTTTCACCCGGGCATGTAATTGTCCAACCAACTGCATGGCAGACCACAGCTTTGCCCCAGGGTTGTGGGAAAGCCCAGCATACTACCTCCTCACCAGCTGAGGGGCGCTCAGATACTCTCCACTGGGCTTCCATTAATACCAGGAAGCCCTTTGAGCCACCCACAGAGGACTTCTGTGCCCATAAAGATGGCTGTGATGTACTCAAGCCTAGGACCAATACTGGACTCATTTTGGTGGATGTGGACACAGGGAATCCACAACTCCCCCAAAAAAATACCTAACGAGACATTCAATAAGAGGCAACCACATCTGTGGCTGGTGGAGTTAGAGTGACATCTGTCTGGACATGGCTCCCTGGACCACCTAGGTTGACCTGTCAAGCTCCCTTCATCATCTTTTCATTTCATACCCATCAGAGAGGGGCACAGCCAGAGCAACCCTCATCTCATGGATTTAGGCTCTATTTTGTTCATGTTATTTCTTCCTGAACAGAAGAAACTCTTGAGAGAGTTTGGGGGTTAAGAGGCCTAACAGAATTAAAATACAGCCCTCTGGTAACCAAGAAAAAGACCCAGGGCCAGGGAATGGGCAACTATCTGGAAGAAACTTATGCAGCCAGAGCTATTTCCAGCTATAATTGACTCACTTTCATCTGTCAAAATAGCATTAAGCACCAGTAATAAGCCCTTTAAACAAACAGGCTGTTAATCCTGAGATCGTGGCATCTTCCTTTGCAGGAGCTCCAGGGAGCAAAGACTGCAGAGAGATGAATGGGCTGGCCCTGCTTTCAGCGAGGGGAGGAGGTGGGGAGAAGGGGCTGCTGGGGCCTTGGCATGTGTTCCTGCTAATGTCTTTCCCTTCATGGGACCACTCTGCCTTAGAGCGCTGTGTTCAACAGACTGTCCCTGAAATTGGACAGTGGGACAGTGTGCAGAGTGAGAGAAAGGGCTTGCTTGTTTCTGCCTTGGTGAGACCAATCTGGTGTGCACTGCCAGGGAGGAACAAGGATGGTGCGGGATGCAGAAGGAAGCCACATGTGGAAAACAAAGGGATTGTGGAGAAGGTATAGAGAGCCTTTTCCTGATCCTCATCATAGCCCAGGAAGTTATATTTGTAATCCCATGAAAAGTTATTGGAATTCTAGCAAGTTAATTCCAATTTACCACTTCCAGTGCAACCCATGGTGAGAATAAAGACACTAAGGCATATTTACAATTATAGGGAGCCTAGGGGTCCTAAATCCAGCCATGATGATGGCCATCCAGCACAAAGGCCTCCACCCAAGGCTGAACCCATGACAAAGGGAGTGGCTTAAGGATGAGTGACTGTGAGAACCATGGGAAGTAGGTGAGCACCATGAGCTGGGCTAGGTAAGAGGCCTGAAATCTCTGCAAGTGCAGAGAAAAGGATATGCAGAAAGAGTAATCCACATAACACAGTTGAGGTAATATCTAATGTTTTGGGGTCAGTGCTTCAGCTCTCATGTGTAATGTTTGAAGCACCAGGAAGTCATTGCCTCCATCCCAAGGTTCGATCCCAGCCAACAGCATGGCGCATTGGCTCGCACATCCCGCCTCATCCTGGCTCACTCGTGGGAACAATGAGGGGCCTGGGGAAGTATGCTTGCCATCTCCAAAGATTATTATCAGCACCTTGGCTAGACCAATATGCATTGCTAAAAACAATTGAAGGGAGTACATCGAAATAGGGTCAGGCTCAGCCAAAATGGAGGCAAATGCTCTTCTTTCAAGGAGAATCCCCTAGGTAGTCCTCCACAGAAGGCTCAATAGGAAGCTACAACCTGGCCAGAGGCAACGTGGCCCTATATCCAAAATATAGACACCTCTGATGGTTCAAATCCTAGTTCCATCACTTGCTTGGCTGCATTGTGTGTCTCCCTGCCACCAAGTTCTGCTTTCTTTGTCTTCTTCCTGGAGAACCCTACTACGTGCTTTAGAACATGTGTCCCATAATGGGATACCAGTACACATCCACTAGCACAGCTATTATGAAATTTAAAAAATAAGTATCAGCAAGAATGTGGAGAAACTGGAATCCTTGT